AAAATAAAGTGTTACCCAAAACACTTGCTGCAATAGATGTAAGATAGAGGTAATGTTCATAATTTAGGTCTAAGATATAGATTTATCCCTCTGATTTGAATGCTCTGTTGGAAGGGGCGTGCCCATTGCTGTGACTGGCTAACATCTTTAAATATGAAATGAGCATTACATGTGGAACTCTCAAAAACTTCTACTGCGTTTTTACTATAACAGCCATAAATATTAACAAATCGTGAAAAGTGTTATCGCATTATATTTAGAACTACTCTCTTTGCATCAAAGGTTGTAGCGTTGCATGGTATCTGAACACATTCATGTCTACTGAGCACACGATATAATGATCTCCTTATTGCAATGCAATTTTTGCACAATCTCATGAATACTTTCATCATAACTAACACGGTAAAAACACAATGTAAATAAGAAACTCGTTGAGCAGTGTAAACTGTGTCACTGATTATAATGAGAATTTTGACTGAAATGTACTAATCAAATCACTGTTATAAAACGGATAGTTCCGGTCTTTGATTCTGATTGGTTGAGCCGCGTTCGAAGCTGTTGTAAATTACTCTACAAACATACACCTTTGTTTACTTTGTATGTTGCTTGGCAACCACTTTGTTGCAACCACAACTGTTTCTGAGGAACTACATTGTTTGGTGGAAGAATAATGTTGTATTAATATACACTTTATTTGCTCTGTTTTATTTTGTGAAACCTAACTACATATATGGAATAACCGTTTTATAAAAGCAATAAGCCGTGGTTTACAGTGAATTTATAACAGCTGTTATAAATTCACTGTACACCACGGCTTCTTGGGGCTTATTGCTTTAATAAAGCGCTTTGAGTGCCTAGAAAAGCGCTATATAAATGTAATGAAAATGAATTAATAGACTGATCACTGATCTTGATTTGACTTGATCTTGAATTTGAAAAAGGTACTATTCTTCACTGTTGGCAGAAATTAAAATGCTAATATCTAAGTTTAACATATCTTATACGAATATGTTATTTTTTTTATTTTAATGTTTAAATAATGTATTAGTATACATAGAAGATTTAAATATATATATATATTTTTTTTTTTATTGTGTAAAAGTATTTTCCATTTTAGTTCATGTAAACTATTGTGTGCATTTTTGTGTGTTTTTTAATGCTACCAGTTAAATAGAAACAAGTATAAAAGTAACTGAGGCATAATGGTGTACATTCAAAGAGTACCACATTACCCATCTAACAAACATTTAATGCAAAAATTTCCAAACATGGAAAAAAGAAAGAACATTATTTGAAATTACTGAAGCAGAGAGGTTTCTCATCACCGTTCAGTTCATTACTTTCCGGCAGATCTGTTTACCTTTGCTGGACTGACATGAACGATAACGAGCTAAAATGATGGTGTGAAAAATTGGCAGAGCATCAATCAATACGAGAGCAGAGACATTGTGCCATAATTTCCAGCTAAATTACTCCACCCGCTTGCTAGGCGGTGAACTGCGCTTTGTTATGTTATGAATCAAAGCCAGATGAGATGAATGACTGTGAGCGCTGAGTTAATGTTCCTGTGTGAGAGTGATGAGGGTCTGCTGATGCCTCCATATAGCTGCAATGCAGGAACATGAACAAAATTGTAATGAATTAAATGATCATCACTGTGGTTAAAATGCATCACAACATCTATAGAACTAAGCGACATAGCTTTTGTTGACTTAGCAAGTTTTGCATAGCATGATTATCCTGCAGCCAATGTTATGCTTGAAGATGATTGCAGACATCCCACCTCTCCCGGAAGCTCCGGGAGTCTCCCGCATATTAATAGTGGCTCCCTGACGCCCGCAAATTAGATACAATATCCCGGAAATCGTGGAGGCAAGGGAGAGTACGGGCAAGAGGAAAGAGCGCCACTTAAGCATTTACATTTACATTTAGTCATTTAGCACAGTGGTAGTGATATATAATCATAACCGTAGCCAGCTATGAGATCACCATATGAGTGTCTGCATGTATAATTCAGTTTAGACAGTTTGCAAGAATGTTTAGCGTCCGTGGCATGAAAACGATCGCTGCGAGACGCTGGTGGAGTGAAGGAATCTTGAGAGCGCGGGCGCAGATCCAGCGATTATAGGCGTTTTTGGACTTGTCTTTTCCACTTAATTTGACACTTTAGAAAGTTAATAGAGTGGGAAGTTGCAATTTAGGGTCAGCGATATCCTTATCTTATCTGATTTGCAAAATATTTGAAATAATTCTCGGTTTTTATTTGTTTTAATAGCAATATCTGGCAACACTGCATCGCCGGCACTTAAACTGACAGTTATCAAAAGAGCCCATGGACATGTTATTGCTGACAGGATAGCACATTCGGTAAGGGAAACGCAAAAAAATATCATGATATTATCTATTAGAAACGTTATCAACGTTATCAAAAACAGTAGCATTTAACACTATTACACAGATCTGTAGAACAAGTAGGTTACAGAATTAAATGAAATACGCAAACACTAGCCATGAAGAAGTCTATACTATTTTATTCAGTAGTCGTTACATTTTCACAAAGTCATGCAAAAACATCCATAAGAGCACTAGGCAAAGTTATCATAGAGCAATGATTATTAATGAAAACTATAACAGTAATATGGATTGTTGCATGAATAATAAACAACTGATAAAATAGGGGGGGGGCGCTGTTGGGGGTGGTACTACCTCCCTGAAATTAGTTTTTGCATGGTGGGATGTCTGTGATTGTATCATCATTAACATTCCCAAATGCAAGATTTTGAGTAGGAAGCAATGTAAATTTCTGTCTGTTTCGCACATAAAGCTACTGTATAACATCAGAAGACATGGAATGTAGTACACAAAAAGTATGGATCACTTTAAACTTTAATGGTGCATTTATGTCTTTTTTTTTAAGCTGGAAAACTTTAGTCCCTGTTCATTGTAACTGCATGGAAAAGGCATGGAAACAGAATAAAGAAAGTCATGCAGTTTTGGTACAGCAAATGACAACAATTCTAATTTTGGGGTGAACTATCCCTTTAGGTAGCTGCATGGATGCGCAGGGAGTTCTTGCCCAGAACAGAACCATACAAAACCATAGTGGTCCTGACAGAAATAAAAAAGCCATATGCATGAATGGAATGTTCACAATAAGATCAATAACATGCATTTAGAAAATAGATAGGGTGAATTTTCATTTCATACCGTCTTTAAGGGTAAGTGAATCTGAAATTGATAATACTGCAATAATAGGCAAGAATTAATTAAAATAAATAACTTCAGTGAGCTTTTGGCCATTTTTGTGTGCAATATGCATATGATTGTCCCTGAAGCGTTTGTGGCTGAGACTAGAGCATGAAGAGAGCTTCCATATCTGCACAGCCTAAAGCAGCTGATTAGAGGAGACAGCTCAATGAAGCTCAAACCAAATCAAACTGCTTGATTAATCTACCCGCTGATAAACGCCTCCCTCCGTTCACATTAAGTCATCCGTCTGCATGAGGAAAAGACATCACAATCCAGACACGTGTCCACAAAGATTTAATCACCCTTATTCTGACTTAATTCAGTGTTGTAGAGTTGCCCCAAAAAACAATTTGGAAACCTTCAGACCCACTTAAACAAATTTGAATGGTTATTTCATTAGAAATAAAATATCAAAACAGGTCATCTGCGCTTGAATGCAGCTGGAAATTTTTGTTCAACTTTTCTGAGCCATTTTTGCAAAGAATTATCATGTTTTCACTTAAAACAAAGTGTGCAATGAATGAATGTGACTCTTAGTGTACTTCAAACCTTAAAAGTAAATTAAAAAAAACAAACTCTACGTTTAGATATTGTAATATTAATTAAATAACATTAATTAAAATTAATTATTTAAAAGTAATTATGAAATGACATATAAGTGACATGACATGTGACCAAGTATGGTGACCCATACTCGGAATTAGTGCTCTGCATTTATCCCATCCAAAGTGCACACACACACAGCAGTGAACACACACCCGGAGCAGTGGGCAGCCATTTTTAGCAGTTGGGGGTTCGGTGCCTTGCTCAAGGGCACCTCAGTCGTAACCTTTGGGTTACGAGTCCGACTCTCTAACCATTAGGCCACGACTTCCCAAACGACTTCCCCATAAAGATGTAAGTAAGTCCTACTTAAATGGGTCAAAAATCAAAGCTAAATAGAATTAAATAAAAAAAATTGAATTTAATATAAATTTAAACTACAATACATTTTCATTTCATTGCAATTAACATTCAGTAACTGTCTGAGTAGTGAATTAAGTGAATTAAGAATATATTATTTAAAGTATATTATTTTTGTAATAAGCACGCCTTTTAAAAGTATGCACAAGTGTACTTCTTTTCACAAGGGTTAGTGGATGTATGATTTAATTCTCAAGTTCACATAGGTGTCCTATGCAGATGATCAAACCACACATTTCACAACCACAAAGTGTCACAATATTTTTGTCTCATTTTCAAAACTATATCTATCATTTAAATCCTATTTTTTAATGTTTTGTTTGAAAAGTATGCTTATGCTTTCTTCAAAATAAATTCCAGTTGTTATGATTAAGTCATGTAAAGCCGTTACATGCAATTCAGATAAGACGCTACTATATGTTCAGATACTTTTTGCGGTCACTGTATTTGGAAACTGTTAAGACCATTAAAATGGGAAACTTCTTTATTTGGCCACTGGGATTTTACTTGAGTTTTAGGAAGATCATGATTCTCAAATGTTTGAAATTCATGACTTTGAAAGAAAAAAAAAGAAAAGAAAAAAAAAAATCTATACTTTCGTTTTACCATGAAGAGGAAATTAGCAATGCACAAGCCTTCATTTCACTGCCTCCCTGAATTGATTATGTGCACAATGAGAATTATAGTACTCAATGCTGAGATAATCTCTGCAATCGTATCTGATACTGGGCAGCAAATGGAATAACCACACTAGAAGAAATCAAATGTCTGCTGATGAGAGCACTTACTGCTGATCCACTTAGCATTTGGGTCGTGAACTTTGAAGTCTTTTTTGAAGATTTCTTCCACTGTCACTTTCCCTTTCAAGGCCAGGCTATCGTCCTCACCTATAGAGAGAAATACAGAACAGAAAAGACTTTTAGCTAGCGATGGAAGAAACAAAGCTTTTGAAACTTTGAACTAATTGAACCAATTGCTTCATAAAATGATTCACTGTTTCGAAGCTCTCGAAATGCCGCACACTCGTGAAGCCTGCTGGTGAGAATGGTCTAAATGCAATGTAAACTCAGATCAAACATGCATCAAAAACCTATTACAAACCAATTGCAATTGTTTTATTGAAACTTTAATCTATTAAATGTAATTACAAATAATCTAATACTACTAAATGAAGTGTCTGTATGAGTTTGGTTTATCGGGCCAATAAGAGACTATTAACCACAACTCTTCTTTTTTATTATACAAATGTGTCATTAAATGTCTTTAAATTTATAAAAGTGATCCAAGATCAGAAAAAAAAATATATACTACATCCGTACATATACCTACTTCCATACTATATTATATTATCTGAGCCGAGTAGTATGTCCGAATTCATAGCACTCATAAAATAGTAGACGAAAAGTACCCGGATGACCTACTACTTCCGGTAAGATTATGAAGTGTGCATCCAACATACACTTTAATATCCCATGAGGCCACAGGAGAAGATTTGTGAATGGAAGTGAAGCAACAAAACAGACATTACAAAGACAACATGGCAGATGTTCTACAAATGTCCAAATTTCATTCATACTACATAGACATACTTTTTTAATGGTTGCAAAGCAAGTTTCAAACCAGTTGTTGTACCTACTACACATTATCCGATTTCGTATGCAGCCATAGACACTGGTTTCGCAGACATCACCCCTAGTGGCGAACCATTGAAATGAGAAAGATTTCAAAACAGCCATGATGTTAGAAAGCCGCATTTACCGAAATCACGCGACTTTCACGGTTTGATAAGTGCTCTGAATCACCGATTCAGAATAAATAAATCGCAAAGGTTTTGAAACTTCACAAAAACTTCATAAAACATACCCATCACTAGATTTAGCACCGAGACTCACAATCTTCACGCCTCCATCCTCTCTTTAGTGCATGTCAAAAACTCTCAGCTTTTCAGGTTCACAGAAGGCAAACTGCATCTGCATTGAGCTGAATTGGCTGACAGGCTCTTCTTAGAGGGCAGCCTGGTGATTTTTCCTCTAAAATAGGCGATAGTCTCTTCATGGCAACTGCAGCTCCTGGGCTTGATGTGAAAACCACAGTGGTCTCTTAATGCTGTGCTGGAAAGTTCTGACTGTTCCAGCTTCCAGCAGTGCCTGGGCTCATTATCTCAGCCGTACCGCTGTGCTCAGGGCCCAAAGATCACCTCCATCAGGCCACCTCTGTTTGACATTACCACTCATTCGTTCAGCACGTGGCGCGAGTGCACCAACCCACCGCCACATCAATACCTAGAGAGACCGAACACGTGGCGTAGTGGAAAACCATTTTAAATCGCACGCACTGAGAAGGAATGCGGCGGCAGCAGAGCTTTGCATTAAATGACAGTCCCATAAGGTGAGAATGAACACCAGAATGTATTCAGTGTGTTTGACAGAGAAAGCGGGGAAGAATCTATCAACTCACGCGCACTTCATCTCGCCCCGACTAATATTACGCTGTCACTTTGACTCGTGTACGCGTGCGAGGTTCATGCGTGGGCCAGGTGCAATTCTCCAGTGCCGCAGAGGAGGGGGAAAAAAAAAGCCAGGACATGGAAATAAACACAATCAGGCATCCCTCCAGGCTCTGCTTTAGACGAATTGAATGTTTCATTATTAAAATGGACTTTGTGCATTTACAGCTGATGCCAGCACTAACCTGATTTATTTAGTCATAATTCTGCACATCAGATATGATCACAGAGTGCTTTCGTCTAGCATATGACTCATTTTATATGCATAGGAAGATGCAGAAAAAGCAATATCTGATTTGTTTCACTTTGCTGTCAAGATGAGCAGTTTTGTATGTCCTAAATGGGAAGACTGCAAAAGAGCAAACATCAGAAATAAACTTTTTGAGACAAACTAAAGAAGTCTTACATTGGCTAGTGGACTATAGTCTGGTCCATTCTGCAGATTATTCTGGACAACAGCTGACAGGAAAGGGCTGTCTGTCTGATGTTAAATGGCCAACCGCAGTATATTTTTCTTTATGATATATAGGAAAATGGATAAATGTGAATTTGAACATAACTAAGAACAGAATACACAGTTGTGCCCAATGATGTCTCATTTATTTGTTACTAACAGGGTTCCACACGACCAATAATACAACCAATGAATTTCCGTGGATTGTTTATAAATACCAGATAAGGATCTAAAAATAATTTTATAGAGATGACATTTAAAAAAAGGCAATTTTTAGATTAGCTGTTTCTAAATTATTTTAAGGCTTAGCATAACTACAAATCCACATGGCTTTTTAAGGTCTGGGAATCACAATTTAAAAAATCATATGTCCAGGTTTTTCTTGGCAATGGGATTCTTATAGACTGAACAAAGATTTGAAGCCATAAACCTAGCAAACTTTGGATATTCCAGTTCTATTTAAAAATACATTTTAAAAATCTATACAAATATACAATGAATGGAATATACCTCTTCTGTGATAAGCATGCACCCCCCCCATTTTACTGTTTATTTAACAGTAAAATGTAAAATAGTCCCAAAGAGAGGACTGTGTGACTGTGAAGGCGTCATTAAGTCTCTTAAAATATTTTAAAATACTTTTTATGACAAGACAAAACACTTAATGATATTTATGAATTATTGGTTCATGATATTGTCAGCTAACATAGTAAAAAAATGTGTAAAAGATATGACAAAAAATAGGTCTCTGTAAGCTGTCTTGCTTCCTGTAAGCTATCATGGCATATTCCCAAAATTGCCATTAGGGTGCTCTAATACACGCCAATTAGTATTCTATATAGAATTTATTATGTGAACATGAATGTACTTTGTACATTATGTACATAATTTGTTTGGCCGTTGAGGGTCACATCACCTGACAGCTGTCCCCCCCACTTTTAAAATGGCTGCTACGCCCCTGCAAACAGTCACCATCAAATTTAACTTTGATTGAGCAGTTCTGCCAAGAAGAGTGGGCAAATATTGCAAAGTCTAGATGTGCAAAGTTAGTAGAGACAAATCCCAAAATACTAAAGGCTGTAATTAAAGCAAAAGGTGGTTCAACAAAAGACTTACACAGGGGTGTGTGTGTGTGTGTGTGTGTGTGTACATGTGTGGTGTGACCTGTGCACTAGGTGGTAAGATTTTTGTGATATAGGAGCCTTGTGCTCATTGACTAGCTTACCTGCCATTGGTAAGCCTCTGTGTTTATTTAGTGTTTTTCATGTTTGTTCCAGCCCTGGTCCCACAGTCCGTTAGGGCACTTTCACACTGGCACGTTTGGTGCGCACCCGGGTTCGATTGACGTCAGAGTTCTGTACATTTGGCTAGTGTGAAAGCTGTCAAACGCGGGTGCGCACCGGGGTACCGAACCTGAGACTACCTGAAGGAGGTGGTCTGAGTTCGATTGCACTCGAACTGTGGCGCGGTTCACATGAATATAAAAGCAACACGTACTCGGGTGCACACTTGTTCAGGAAGTAAACTGCACATGCGTTTTAGGTGATTACTATGTATTTTCTTCAATAAAACACATCTAAGTGATGATAGTGTTGCTGATTTACCTTGGATTTGAGCGAGAGTGTGCCTGCAGTGTATTCGCGTGCAATCAGAGCGACAAATGAATGGTAATCCGCTGTCTCCTCAAAATAGCCGTCTCCTCAAAAATAGCCGTCTACATGCACCTCACATACAGTAAACCCATATGTCGTTTACTCTGCTGCGCATAATAGCACCAAATTAATAAAAAAACACAATATTGACCCACGTTCTGTTTTCTATCATACGTTGTGCATGTTTGTGATGACGTAAGATGACTGCAAATGCACCGGCTTTCGACAGAATCAAGAGAGTGTGAAACCAGACCAACGCAGAGAGGGGGTGCCGGGAACAATGGCACTCGGGTTCGAACCACAGCAAACAACCCCAGTGTGAAAGCCACCTCAATGATTTTAAATTTAGTCCTTGATTGTTAAAATAAAGTTTTGTATTTTGGTATCCACATCTCAGGCCATTCTTTTTGAAGGGAAGCTCCTGTGTGCCCTTTTTTAGATTTAGATTTCACTGTCGACAGGGTGGCGTAGTCAGTTACATCTTCGAGTTGTTTCCCCTTTCCGACCATATGCCCTGCTACATTCACTATAACTTTTGATCAATTTAATGTGTCCATTTATATTATAATTGACCATGTTTTAATGATTAGGTATGAGTATTAATTCACATGAATTAAAAGAGAAAAAAAAATTTTTTTTCAACATGAAAACCTGTCATATAGAGACCAACTCTCATAATCCAATCAATTCCTGATGAATAAATCCCACCCTACATGTTTTCTCATTAAACATCCTGTTTCACTCTGAAATGTCACACTGTAGAAGTGAAATGTGTTGCGAATGATACGTCATGTTGACTTCAAGAATAGGATTATTTGCAATGTGCCTTTCCTGGATAAATCAGGTGCCCTTATATAAGTTACCTGTTTTACAGACATGCAACAGTCTGCAGAGATATTTCCGATGCTGTCCTATATGTCCCGTCCCGCAGTTTTGGAGAGGTGTCAGGACTCAAGCTAGAGACACCACCTGCTCAGTCTGTATGAATTGTGCTCATTCTCTCTTCCTCTGTTAGCCCGACTGCTTGAACTGTCCCCTGCTCCAGTTAAGATAGAGCACAGATGTGAAGTAAAGGACTGCAGCCAGACTAGGTGTCCAAATGGACACCTAGTCACACACACACAAACAAACATGCTCTCAAGCTCACAGACAAAAAACAACAAAACAAATCAAACAGGGTGACACATCTCAATCTGTGCCTCCCATTAGAAGACTTTACACTAAGCTTATTATTAGAGAAAAATGTAAATGTATGGAAACAGACAAAACTTCTCA